CAACAAGTTATTTTCGCTCCAAAACCCTTGCCAGACCTCTCTTGCTAACAATAGCTTATCTATGATACATCAATGCAGCGCGAACTCTTGGCGGCAAACCTTGTACTCGGAAACGGGTTCCCGGGGTATGTCGGCGATCTACCCCCATTCCACAAATCAATGTCTCGGGATGGGTTACATTGTGAAAAATTAAACTGTGGACTGTGCCCGTGGCTTTTTTGGGTAATAGCTGCATAAACTAGTGTAAATAATACACGTGCACTAGTTTTTATTATATAATTCTTCGGGGTTTAGTTAGTTATGAGGGGATGGAGGGGTTCTGGATATATCCTAGAGAGGTAGGATCATGGAGAATCTTTTATTACTCAATTTACCGTTGAATGGGGTCATTTAGGATCACTTAGAGATATGGCGTGGGATGGGTTAGCTTACTGAGGGTATTCAGGATGATACGTAGTTAAGAATGTAACCGGAAAGATCTGAAGTCTTAAATCCTGTATTTCTATACTCCAATACTGCTCTTCATTTGATAATCATTAAGTGACGTGATCTATATTAAGTCGTTAAGCATACATCTATAGCCGAGACTTGTCCACCCGGTTACCCTCTTCATCGAAGAAGATCTTCTCGCCGGTGATAAGCGACTCCTGGAGCGCAGCTCCAATGCGGACGGCCTGGACAGCACCGTCAAGTTGGAGTGGGACAGGGGTGTCCTCGAGGCAGCAAGCGGTGAACTCGTTGGCCTCGGTTACGAAGGCATACTCGAAGCGGTCGTAGTAGTGCTGAGGGATCTCCCGACGGATACCAGTGCTGTCGTAGATGTTGACGAGGTTTAGGGCTGGCTGTGTGTTGACGGCCAGCTTGCCCTGGGTGCCGATGACTTCGGTAGTATCTTCTTGACCGGCGGCCATCATACGAGAAGCGTAGAAGTAGGCGATCTTGCCGTTGTGAAACTCGACCAAGCCAACAGCATTGTCGCGGTCGTTGTGCTTGCGCAGGTCCGGCTCAACGGCCGTGATACCGACGGCAGACACAGACTTGACTTTGCTTTCTTGACCGAAGAACCAGAGGGCAAGGTCGATATCGTGGATCGAGCAGTCAACGAAGATACCACCGGAGAACTGGGCATAGGCGACAAAGAACCCACTAGGGTCCAGCTTGTCACAGGTCTGACTACGCATAACTGAAGGCGCGCCAATTGAGCCGGCGCTCATCTTGTTGAATGCATCCCGGTATGAGGCGTCGAAGCGACGGGAGAACCCGCACATCACCTTGAGATGAGGCTTCTTGGCAGCAGCGTCGAGGACGGATTGGGACTAGGAAAAGGATGGTTAGCCCCCTAACCACTAGCTTGATGGGCAAAAGAGCAAAGAAGTCAGGGGTTACCTACGATCTCGACACTGGTTGACAAAGGCTTTTCGCACAGAACGTGCTTCTCAGCATCGATAGCCTTGATGGCTTGTTCAGCATGAACGGCGGTGGCCGACGCAACGACCACGGCTTCCAGACCTTCGTGGCGGAGCATGTCATCGTAGTTCTTGTATAATTTCACACCATATGGTTCAAGATGGACCTTAGCCCATTCATGCTCAGCATCGTCAGGGGAGCTAGCGGCGACCAGCTCGGCACGGGGAGTTCGCTGGAGGAAGTTGAGGGCATGGCGCTTGCCCATGCGACCGAGGCCAGCACAGCCAATTTTGAGCTTCGTAGCAGCCATGGTGAATATGAGAAAGTGGTAGAAGAAAGGGTGAGAGGTATGAGTATATGAAGGACTGGAAGGTTGGAAAGAGTAGCTTATCGGGAGATAGTTTTCGGAGGAGACGGTCAGAATTTATGCGACCGGTCGGAAATCGTGGCGGGTTGGAGACAAACGTCGGTCAAGCTGTTTCCCTAGCACTCGGGATTCACGAAGAGGCCGAAGACCAATTGACAAACATGAAAGGCAAGAGCATCCAGTAGGATAAGTGAGGAGGGGAAGCTGTAGCTTGCTAAGCCAAAGACTGGAGCATCTCAAAAAGCCAATTGCCCCATTTAGTTAACCCATCATCAATGCTACCCCGGAATCCAGAACAGCAATGGTCGGAAAAGAGGTTCCTGGGGCTCCATCGTGAGGAGGACCCCACAATACGAAATCCGATGGTTCGCCCTTAGTGATAGAGAAGGTGGGAAAAGAGGGAAACCATGGATCAGGGCGGAAAAATCAAGGTACGGAGTACAGCGACCACTGTTCTTTATACAGGTGTTTTGGATGGTGGGAAATGAAAGGCTGGGGAAATTTGAAGTTGGGGTAAGAAACTAAGACTCTCCGCAATCTCTCCCTCTTTCCCCATATTATCAGCGATCATTCATATGATGCTGTTATTTATAGTTATAAATGAAAGACAAAAGACAATTTACAACAACATCCGGTGTAGTGTAACGGCTATCATACCTGTCTTTCACACAGGAGATCGGGGTTCGATTCCCCGCACCGGAAGATTTCTTTTTTTGTGGTTTTTCCCCCCACCCTGCTGCATATGGGCAAGACAAACTCTCAGCCCATCCATCATCTGAACTAGATTAACTTACATTCCGCTGGTAATAAACTCAGTTCTCGAACTCATTGGAATATGTACTGGATATAGCGTGGTATCAACAAAAAGAGTGAGTGCATCACGTGTACTATGCTTGTGCGTAGGTCAAAAGGCATGAGCATCGTGCATAACGGGAACCGCAGTAAAGACATAACAGATACTGCGTAAATCACACAAATAGCCACTTAATGCTCAGCCTCGGCCTTCTTGGCCTTCTTCAGCTTCCTCTTTGCTGCAACTTCAACCGGGTCCACAAAACCTTCACCCTTCATCCATGCTAGCGCCTTCCGCACCCCTCGGCCTTGAACCGCGTTCGGTCTGCTCTCCAAGATGGAGTTCATCAGTGCCCAGGAAAGTACAAGGATGAACAGGTCCCCGCCCTTCCATCCTTTCCATAGCCCCCGCTTGACGCCCGTCTTCCATGCCGAATCCACGGCGGCTCGGAAAAAGTACGTAAAGACGCTCCGGCTATTTGCAAGGAACGCAAACGGCATACCTGCAAGTGCACCACTCAGGAAGAAGCGTTTCGTAGGCAGGACAGAGCGCGGGAAAAGTGAGTTCCAGAGACAAATACTGCCCCACGCGGAACCCACAGATGTAGAGAGAACAGCAGTCAGTGTGATGATTTTCTTCGAAAGGTTATTGATCGAGGTGATGGGATTGGCCATCAGCTTCTTAAACTTGAGCACAGAGAGTGCCAAGGTAACGGTTGTCACAAACCGGGCCAGACGAGGGACCGAGAGGAGAATATTGTGCAAGAAAGCCGTACTACAGCTGGGGCTGCTTGAATGGAGCAATGCACAAGATAAGCTTGAAATAGACGGATGAGCAGGTCCAGTAATTGGTGAAATAGATTTGACAGCTGATGGTAAGGTATTAAGGTCTCCGGGATGCAATATCGGTGAGACGAATGCGCTGATGGAAAGATTAGAAAAGAAGCGATCATGTACTAGGTGTAGGTAACGAGTATAAACATACGGCCAGCGCAGATTGGCGACAGTTGCGAGCGAATCAACCACGTCCTCCTTTCCTGGCCAAGCAAACTCTGCAGGCAAACTTTCAGGGCGATCGAGGATGTAACCTGGAGAGAGTCTGAAGATGACGTTTCCGAGCCACTATGCTCAATCAGTATGCAAATCCAACAATATTTCTCGTGGATAGACCAAACAAACCTTAGGTGTAGCCTCCCGATCGAAGATGAACGCATGGAACAGCTGTGCGCAGGACAGGGGCATCAGCAACCAACTTCCAAACCACACAGGCCGATTCTCAAGCCATCCTTTTTCATCAATGGCGTTGAAAAGAAACTCCAAGCTTCGAGTAGCCATCCAGATTGCGGCTGTCAGCCGCAGCTGATCCTGAGGGCATATGCCCAGGCCAAAAAGGGCCAGACTAGCCCCAACAGCAGGCGCATAACGTGATGTCAACGCTTTTGACACTCGGGGGTTCCGATTACGGAAGGGCTGGGCTTCATCTGTGCGGAGGTTCGCGCGTAGCCGGGTGAAGAAGCGATGCAGAAGCCTGTGGAAGAGAAGGACGAGCGAAAGGGACGCTGACAAGCGGAAGTTGGGTGAGCGGAGGAAAGAAGTCTCTACTTTCTTCCTGTGGTTTCAGAAAAAGGTGAGACGTGAGTGTTAGCTAAGACACATTTGACGTCCGCTTGATTTGATTCTTAACTGGTCTGAAATCTTACTTGGACAAATCACCTCGGATTCTTGCAAGTGCCCACTCAACGAATTTCAACAAAGCGGCTGAGCCGAGGAAGACTCGGATAGAGGCGCGGAGAGCTGCCTCATTGTATTTGTTTTTTGAGCGCACTATCGCTTCATATCTCGATGGAGAGGGCAATTTGGACTGAACCTTCACGGGGGTGCGCCGGACAGCATGGTCGTGGAGAATCTTGTATTCCTTGGCGCTGAGCGAAATGCGGAGAGCTTCGCGAACGACGGGGTGGACATGGACCTGAGCGGGCCCATCAGGGTCGCGTGCGGAACTAGGTTCCATGATGCATCAAATGACTTTCAAAAAGTCTTAGAACACATGTATTTAAATATACATTGTGAGATGCCTCTGGGGTCGATAGATGGGGCCTGGGGAAGGAAAGGGAAGGTTTAATGGGGAAGCATGGCTTAGATTAAATTCCGGGGCCGCTCGTGACCTCGGTTATTTTCAGCTGAATGATCTACGAACTATTAAATTTAGTAGAGAAGATATGAAGAAAACAAAAAACAGAGAATTTGGGTTCCAATAAAAACCTAATATGGTTTATATTGGTCATCGCTATGTTCTATCATCCATGCCGTATCGTCGAAAAAAAACCCAAGACAGTCCAATACGCCGTGTCTGTGACTTAGATTCACATGCCAGTCACTCATAGCCATATCACACATTTATATACACCAGGCATCAGGGTCACTTCTGGTCCGTTTACCTTCTTTGACTCCTGTCCTCCATTCCTCCGAATCTCTGCCAAACTGCCATTGGATGGTAGCTGTAACGTACAGACGGTGCTGGTTGGGACTGTAACTTCTAGTTGGGCACTCGTGCCCTCAGTCTGCTTACGATCGAAGCATACCCGAATCAAGCCGTACGGGCAATCAACTTCTCCTTCAACAAAGTCGAACTCGCTTCGAAATGGTGGCCGCAGTTTCCATGTGCGGTACGCATCGTCGACGGGTTGTACACCAAGCACCGCAGCGTAGAACCATTCATAGATCGTCCCCAGCATATCGTGGCACTTGGACCGGCAGGCGTCCTGCCAAAACTCTGAGAGAGTGGTTTCACCGCGTCGGATGAATCGCATGTAACTGGGATGTTCCTCTTGCCTGGCCATGGCGAGGACAAGGTCGGGGCGATCTACTTCGGCTTCGGTGAATGTGCTCCAGACGTACTTCAGCCCAATTTCTCCAGCGCGGATCCTGGGACCCGATTCCTCTACAGCAGCAACAAACGCTTGGATAACATCAGAGCGATACTCTGTAGGCACCAGGCCGAACTGCAGCGCAAGCGCCTGGTTAACCATAGTGCGGTCATGGATACCAGGATTGTCCAGAGAAGTATAAAAGGCATAGGGATATTCGGTCTTATCGGAAACAAGAAGGTGAGAATTGTAAACATCGTAGATGCGTGCAGCCCAGGCCTCATACAGTGCAGCATCCTCGGTGAATCCCAGCTCCTTTGCCATCATCGCCACGTTGCAGAGACAGCGATAGTAAACCGCAGTCTCAATGTTCGCTTGGTGATTACCAAAGGCTATATCATAGCCCCAGTCGCCCAGTCCATGCTCAATCAGACCGCCTTTCCGCTCCTTGGTTTTCATATACTCCATATATCGCACACAAGGCTGATATATCTTAGAGTATACGTGAGTAGACCCGTAGTAGCGCTTGATAAGCTCGGGAAGGAAGCACACCGCACAGCCCCAGGTAATAGTGTCATGGAGAGGGCCACACATATACCGAATCTCCGGTGCCATTGTAGGTACAAGACCATTCGGCTCCTGAGCATCGATGATGTCGTCCAATATCTTGGTGTAGACTGCTTCCATGTCACGGATATACTGCGTGGCAGGTGCAAGAAGCGATGTGACCTCTAGCCATCCGAATTTCTCAATCTGCGGGCAATCGGTATGGTAGCTGAAGATGTTGCTGGCAAAGGTCCAATAACAAGCGTTGATAAGTGAGTTAACGTCTTCTTTATCAGTTTTGAGATACCCAAGCTGGCGTGCAGCTGATGAGACATGTCGAGCACTTAGAGAATGAATGATGGGAAGGCTATCGCTGTCGGAGTCGGAGACCCCCTCCACTTGGATATATCGAGCACTTGTGAAGCAGAAGTCAGGCGTCCAAGTCTCAAGGCCTTCACCAGTAAGGATGATCTTGGAGTATACGTTATGCTCGAATTCTTTAAATAGGGGATCCGGCATAAAGACCTCTCCATTATCTCCAAGGGTCTCGGCGTACCGGACAATGACTTCTGACGCAGTTGGTCCACTGACCTCCAGTTGCACCATGATGCTCGAGTTCTGCCCCAAGTCATAAACAATAACACCAGGGCGTGTGACCTGCTGTTTGATAGGGTGAAATGTGTTATGTAGGACGACTGGGGGCTGACTCTGGTAGCTCAACTTGCCTCTCGGACCAGTCAAAGGCTTTGCTGGCGACCAGTCTGCATCATCAAATCCAGGAGAATCCCAACCAGTGGGGTACAAGCGTAGATCCTGATTCTCTGAGGCGTAAATGTTGGCAAGAGTGGTGGCACTTTTCCTCACCTTCCACGTAGGGTCTGACACCATGGTCTCGTGGGAACCATCAGCATAATGCAGGTGAACCTCAGCGAAGAAGCATAGTTCGTTTCCATATCGAACGAAGGTATTATCCTCGTACGTAGGCCAAAAGAAACGGTCACCCTGATCGCCTGCGTAGAAACCATTTCCAACATGAGCCCCAAGGACGTTCTCCCCTTGTTGCCATTGAGAAGTCAAGTCATAGCCGACATACTGAACAGATCGGTGGTAATTTGTCCAGCCAGGATCAAGTACATGATCAGATGCCGCCTTTCCGTTGACGGTGAGATTGAAATGTCCCAGTCCCGATGCGAATACAACGACTCGAGAGGGCTGTCGAGCAAGCTGGATAGACTTTCTTAAATAGATGGGCTTGTCTCCACCATCACCCACCCAAACTGCCTTCCATCGGTTGGGCTCGTCCTCAAACCAAGTACGGAATATAAGACTACTGTGTGGCATCTGTCGCAATTAGTAAAAAGCGCAAGTCAAGTCAATGACAACTAGGTGTGCTTACATATGTCTGATTCATGCTGTATGGCGGTAACAGCCCCGATGAGCGCGGATATGCGGTATAGAACTCATTCACGGAGCTTTCGCAGGGGATGCCATTTTCGTCCCATACAGTCACTTTCCAGTAATGAAACGTGGTCGACTGGAGAGGCTGCTTGGGAGTGCATTTGATGTTTCTCTGAGCATCACTCTCAACGCGCCCAGAGTCCCAGCACACACCACTCGATTCCAAATTATCACGGTCGGTAGATACAACTACCCGATAGGCAGTCTGTCTGGCATACTCATTGTCGGCGTGCAAGGCCCAGAAGAATCTAATCTCATCGGTGTCAATACCAATGACTTCGTGGAAGCCATGGATACCGCAACGAGTGAATTCCATGACGTGGGTAAGCAGATGCTGCTTAAACAAACGACTTTGTCTAAAGGAAGATTCAAATAATGTGCGAGGCCACGCCTTGTAAAATAATTCAAGGTGGACACGAACTGTGCCGGCCGTTGTTGGTGTCTTACTCGGCAGAAGTAACACCGGTGGACTTGCCGAATGATTGCAGAGTTTGAAATTATCAAGGACTGTAGGGATGCCGTCGGACTCTTTCTTACCGAACTAGAATCATGATGGAGTCCTGACGGCGTGATTTATTTATTCTAGGCTTCGGAGGGCTCCATTTTCGGGAGTGAAATACGGTTGCGACGGGGCCCACTAGCCTATCTTTAGTCTCTGGCCGGTGCCACGCCGGGTCTCTCTCTATAGTTTTAGCTCGGTTCAATGTTGTCCGTTGTTTCCCCACGGGATCTCCCCCGGTCTGGGGTTTGCTGCCTTCAAGTGAATGGCGGGCTTATATAGTCTTGTCTTGGGCCTCTTCTTGGTGTCCGAGATGCACGACCGACAAACGCCTGCATCCTGATACTGCAACAGGGTACCGGTCACAGCATTAGACATGGGGCATGCACAAACAATATTCTCGGCTCTCTTCCTGGCCGTAGGAGGTACTTCTGAGTCCCTTGACTTGAGTTATTGTCATGTTGCTGACCAAAGGGCAATGCAGGGTTCCTTTTCGGCTATGATAGTGGTATCATCACTTCAACTATATCCTTGGCCACATTCAAGGAATACTTCGGCAACCCTAGTGGCACGGTAACCGGTGGAGTGGTGTCTTCATTCCAGGGTGGTGCTATCGCAGGAACAATGGTTAATATGGTTTTCGCTGATCGAATGGGTCGAAAGTACTCCATCTTGGCCGGTGCCATAGTTTCCTGTCTAGGATGTGCCATCCAAGCCGGCGCTGTGGCTATGTCGATGTTGATTATAGGTCGATTCATTGCGGGAGTAGCAGTCGGCATGCTTACTGCCACTATCCCCATGTATGCCTCGGAGCTCTCTGAGCCTCAATTACGTGCTGCTTTATCCGGATTACTACAGTGGATGTTGAGTTGGGGCTATCTCATAGCCCAGTGGCTAGGATATGGCTGCTCTTTCAACACCACGGAATTCTCATGTAAGGCTGATTCCATTTTCTTGACCTTATCCATTATCCCGCTCTATCTCTGGGAGAATATTAACCAAGCAACTCCTTAGGGCGTTTCCCTTTGGCGTTCCAATGCATTCCGGGTATAATCCTAGTGGTGGGCATCTGGTTTCTCAATGAGTCTCCTAGATGGCTTATGGAGAAGGATCGTCAGGAAGAGGCGAGACAGGTGCTCATGAGTCTCCGTAAAGGAAAAGATCCCGAGTTGATTGAACTGGAATTTCAAGAAATTCGTGATGTTATCATGGCTGACCGTGCGATGGGCGAGATTACCTGGATGTCCATCATCTCAAAGCCTTCCTGGCGTCGTCGACTACTGCTTGGCTGCGGTGTTCAAGCTTTTGGTCCCCTATCTGGCACGAACGTTATCAACTAGTAAGGCGCCCAGCAACTTCTATCATAAGTAGAGCTGCAGTAACTGACAGCGATCTAGCTATGGGCCGACGATTTACAACATTCTGGGCATCGATAACCACACATCACTTATGATCATCGGTATCAGTGGAGCCCTTTCAGTTGTCTACTGTACTATCGGACTCTATCTCCTGGATAAGATTGGTCGTATTAGACCTTTGCTCGTGTCAGCTGCTGGCCTTGCGGCGGCATTACTAGTCAACGCAGTGCAAGCACAATACATGGATCAGAACAATGCTAACCAACTGCGCTCAATGGTGGCCATGAACTTTGTCTTCAGCTTTTTCTACACACCACTGGGTATTATTTCTTGGGTCTACCCTGCCGAGATCTTCCCCGTTGAGGTTAGAGCCTTGGGTAACGCGATTACAACTTTCACCAACTGGACGGTTAATTTGGTTTTTGCCCAGTTCTCACCAAACGCACTTGACACTGTCGGCTTCAAATATTTCTATCTCTTTTTCGCGCTGAACCTCATCGCCTTCGTGTGCTACTGGTTCTTCTACCCAGAAACTAAGGGCCGTACACTGGAGCAGATGGATGAGCTCTTCGGAGACCAGATCGTGCCGCATGCATTGCACGACCCAGAAGGAGCAGCCGCTGCAATGGAAAAGGAAAGGGCATTGACAGATCATGTGGAGTTTGGTGAGAACAAGGCACAGGTGTAACCCACTTCTTTCGACCTACTACTATCATTACACACCCCATGTCAGATTACAATACCATTGCAATGTACGTTATATGATAATTATTCAATTAAACGCAGACAATCCCCGCAGTTTACCCATATGCTTCCTAGCAGCATCCAAAACAAACTACATCTGTATCTACATGAATCATAGACTCATCTACACCATCCTATAATATCCGCCACCCTAGCATCACCACCTCTTGTTCGGTCAGTTCTACACCGAACACACCAACTAATAAAACCAAAAACATGTATTAGCAACATCCAAACTTTTCTATCTCATTAAAAACGTAACTTGGGAAAAGTTTAGCGTTATTCCGGGAATTCCGAACCAACCAGGCTAAGCACTCACCCGTCTCCTAGCCCGGAAAAGCCGAAGCCCTACCTACTTCCTCACCAGCCCCGAGTATGGCATGACTAGGTTAAGACACGAATTAAAATACCGCACGCTGTAATTCGTCAATTATTGATCGATTACCGAGGATATCTGCCATCCTGGGGCCCCAGACCACGTTCCCCGCGCCAGAGGATAATTCAAGACTCAAGATTCAACCAAACCATCAAGCTAACAAGTGGGGACGGCGGCGTTTTCAGCATCTGATTGGAGAGTCGCCGCCGCTTGCTGGTCGAAGCAATTACGGGGTTAGCGGGGACTCTCCAATCATTTACTGAAAACGCCGCCGCTATGTACTCCATCCATACTGTCCACTTGCGTTCGGTTCAAGGTTGCTTTGGGCAAGCCGTTTTTGGCCGGTCCGTGGGAGGCATGGACTGCCTGACTGGCCCCAAACCAAAAGGCATCCACATGAGTAGTTTGTTTTTATCGTACATTATTCCTCTTTCGCCCCCAAACCCGATTGTGGAGCGATGCAATAGAGTGGGAGGCTAAGACTAGGGTGTTTGTAGTCGGCGCTTGGCAGTAGCGGCTCGGTATCTACGGAGCACCTTTCGGCAGATTGTGGTCAGTCGGGTTCGGCTCGTCTTTCAGAGCGAGGCTTGGTGTTCCAAGGCTCAAAAATCAGGAGGTTTCGGAGCTAAGTGGTAGGTATATTATGTTAAGCCTGCCTGTGACACTATCAGATCGTTCGCTGCTGTACAGTAGATCGTCGCGTGAAACGTCAGATGTTATTATTATGAACAAGGCTCCCGACTGCCCATATCTGTAGTATAGCAACGGGAATCAATAGGACAGAATAATTCTACAGGCGAAAAACCTTCAAATATAAAAGAACCTGTGCCATGCAAAATCCGTCATATCGCAACTTGCGCCGTCATACTCCTGAAGACATAGACCGCAGAAAAAAACAATGTTGATTGATCACCAGAAACTGCACCATCCAATCCAATGCTGACAAATGTTCTCAACGCTAGTTGCCTGCGCGAGGAGTTTATCAACCTGGTCACTAACGTTGAGCTCATCAGAGGGCTTGAAATCTCGGCCGGTTAGCTTCTCCTTGACTCTCGCCAGCACTTGTAGGGCGCGTGCATTCTGTGCTTCGCGGGCTTCATTAGGTATGCCTTCCTGAGCATCAAGAATGCCGCCTTCAAGAATGGATGGCCGTCGGTGACGGGAGAAGTTGCTGGGTTGGACACCCTGTTCAGAGTTGATATTACCAATAATCGATTGCCGGCGCTCTGATGAGAATGGCATCCTGTCTGGCGACTCACGGATTCCTAGACGCCAGTTGATCAAAGGATCATGAATGAACTGCAGGGGGGCAAATGTTAGATCCGAAATTTTAATAGAGCCAATATGAGGGGGTGATTCTGAGAACTTACAGCTTCTAGAACAGCCATCAGAGAGTCTTTGTTCTCTCTCAAAACACGCATGACAGCCTCACACGTGATCCGGTAGCTTCCTTCAATGTTGCTGACTTCCATGGCAAAGGTCAACATACGGGTCAACCGGAACGGAACTCTTTCGGGATATTTCTCCCGATGCATTGCAACTTCGAAGCAGTCACCGAAATCAATGTGAACCACCTTTCCAGTAATCCGGTCCAAAAGAAGATTGGACGGATGACGATCACCCAGACCAAGGATGTAACCCACCATTGACATGACACCAAGGGACCGAGTATAGTTTGTTCGTCGCTCCAACCACGCTTCTGAGCTTTTACTCTTAAGCCACAGGACCCGATACAGATCCTTTCCGGTGGTGTTATCCATAGCATATCCAAAGACTTCCACTTTCTGCATGAGAGTAAGGTTGTCATAATCTGGCGCCATTTGCAACATGATACGGTGTTCTATATTCAGGAGAATTCGCCGACTCTCACGGTATTCCTTGATCAATGCGTGCAGCGTGTCACTGTTCGAGACCCAGCCCAGGAGACCAGAGCTCTGAGACAAGGGAATGGCTGGGAATCGTTGCACTGAAAGATGACGTTTAAAGCTCTCGCTGTCATTGTCGAGGAGCGTATTCACGAGGCCGAAGAGCTGCATGACTCGCTCATCCTGTCTTATATCTTCGTGTCCCTTAAGTGCGTACATGTATGAATTACCATCGCTACCTTTCAGGGTCATTCTGCGTGGTCGTTTCTTGGTCTGAAGGACATGAAGTATAGGATCGAAGCTCATGATACAGATAATTGGTCGGCCACTCTGGTAGGTACCCGGAACAGCAAGATCAAGGTCGACACAATCTTTAAGCTTGGGAGAGACATATTTCAAGTCGAGTGTAGACAATTGCGGAAGCTGTCGGCTTATCTTCCGGAACACAGTGTAGTAAAGATCCCAAGCTTGGTT